CCATTTTCCTTTAGATTTTAGAAATTTATGTCGCATTTTTTAATGTTTCAATGAAAGATTCATTTATGACATAATAAATATAAGGTTTATATATATTCTGCGCTTGTCTTACACTAACTTATAAAAAGGTAGTGTGACAATGTTGTATCAGCGTTGTGGTGCAGTTGGTGTCCGTGCTTCTTAGGCAGTAAGTTTTCTGGATGTGTATTACTTGATGTTGGTTTGAGTGGGTTTCAAAGCTGCAATATCTATTGTGAAGGAAGAGCGAGCTCAAATTGTGGAAGAATTCGGAAAAGGTTCTTGGAGTCAATCGCAATGATAAAGATTTACGCCCCAGACAGCTGCAGCAGTTTAAAACAGGTATTTATGTGAATTCTAGATAGACTAACATTTAGAGGATGAAAACAAGTTTGGAATTGTATTACACTGTTTCTGCCATTTGGTGGACATGATTCCCCTTCCTCCTTTTGTCGCCAAACAATGGATTTCTTATTTTTCTCTCATTTTAAATTGATTTATATGGGAGTGAGTATGACAATTGTATTCCCGTAGCATTATATAATCAATCTTTGGAGTGATAATGGATTGGCTTTTCTATCTTGTGGCATGAATTGAGTTTGAGGACCAAAGTGTGTGTGCAAGAATTGAAGAAAAGTTGTTTTTTTTTCCTTCATTCAATTTTTTTTTTTTTTAACCTTGTTCTGGGGGGTGAAAGACTTGAATTTTATCTGAACCACAGCTTTAGCTGTTGCCTTGCCACCTACTTACTGACTTCATAGTATTCAAGCAAGATGGTTGGTTGTCAAATGGCTCAAAATAGGCTTGTTATTGAAGCACTGGCTATGCTATGTGTGATGCCCATTTTTTGCACAGCAACTTGGGTTGGCTACACATATCTGTTTCCTCATGTTGGTCGGCTACACGAATCTGTTTCCTCATCTTAATTCAGTTCTGTTTCTGCACGAAGTCTAGTTAATCTCATCGTAAGAACAGAAAAGTTTTGAGCTACCAAATTATGTTAATACTTGGTTCAATCTGCATATGGTTCAATCTTTTGCTTTTTTGAGAGCGTCATACTGTCGAAAATGTTAAAATAGTTACAATGCTATTTCTAAATACTAGTGATTATTTTTTTTTAAAATACATTTATATATCATTTTCCTTTCTAAATTGTGCACGTGATCTCCGTTTGAAGATGATAGAAAATTTTGTGGAGATTGGGCCAATCAGGAACTTTGCCAGTGGGCTTACTAGAGTTTCCAGTGTACAGCTTGGATGAACCATGATAGTCAGACTGAACCAACACTAGCTGGGCTCATGTGGATCCACTATAAGAGGCCCATTACAGATCAGTACATAAACCAATCAACTAAATTTCTATGACTATTAACAGTTCTCATAATCAAACTCAAATTTACAATCAATCAATCAGCAGGGTTGCAAACTAATCAAATTATTCATGTATAGTTGAAGTTTGATTTGTTTAAAGCTCCTTTGAGCTCATCTCATTTGTTGAAGTAAAATATTTGCACTTGTTTAGTAATCGAGTCGAACTCGAGTAAATTCATACTCGACTCAAATAGGTTCATTACATGTATGTATTTTTAATAATATATCAAATATATTTTCATCAATTTAGTTTATTTATTTGTTTGTTTATGTTGTATTTGTCCAGATTTACATATTTGATTGATGGCACTTATTAACAATATGAATGTTTTTTTTTTTATATTTTGCTCATAATTATTTTTTCCCCCTTCTTTTAAATTGCATGTAAATATAGGTATTATTTTCTTTTGAACCTCAAGCTCAAGCTCAATTCGTTTATGTAATTGATTTGATTTGAGTTCAAGTTTCTCAGCTAGTAGAGTTCAAACACCCTAAAGCACCCTAAAACACGACATTATCAACCAATATTGTACATATCAAGCAACTGAAGCAGTCCAAACGAAGTCAACAGATAAACTAATCTAGGGTAGAAAATGAGTCACGTCGAATTGATTAGTAGATTGTTTAAGTTTGACTTGAAAATTTAATTGAATTTCAAAATATGTTAAAGCTTGGCTTGTTTACATAACGAGCTAATCTCAGACGAACTGTTAATGAGTTTTTTACGAACTAAAGACAAATCAAGTTGGAGTAGTTTGATTCATTTAGCCTGTGTTTGGCAAGTGGGTTTGCAGGCTTTTTTGGCTATTTTAGCCACAAAAAACAAAATAGGCTATTTTAGCCATAATAAACAAAACATCACATCCAACTCATAATCATTACATTCTTCTCTCACAAAAAAACTCAAAAAAGCCAAAAAGTCAAAAAGTCATTCCCAAACCAAGCTTTTAAGTCCAGACTAAAATAGCCAAAAAAGTCAAAAAGTCAAAAAGCCAACCCACTTCCCAGACGGAAGCTTAACAATTTTAAAATTATGAATTTCTGTTACCAAAAGCATATAAAGCAACAAAACACTAGTGGTAAGTTTTATAGGAAACAAAATGTAAGATGAGGCACATTTGATGCAAGTTTAATATCAGTACAACAAGACGGACTAATGGTGCTAGAAAATGTCAAAAGACATACAAAAGTTCCGTTTGGCCGACAGTAAAATTTTCAATGCGGACTCGGAGGTCGAGATTTTACTCCGGGCAAGTATGTAGACACAAATTCTTGAGCTAATGCTTGAAGATCATCATCATCATCATCACCATTGTCGATTTCTTGATCCATAGGATTGCAAAAACATACCAATTCCATTGATGTTGAAGGATCAAAATGTGTTGTTGATGCATTGGAAGTAGATGCCAAATCTGAGGAGGATTGAGCATTTGTTGTTGAAGGACTTTGAGGTTGAGGGGGTGGTAGGGAGAGAAACTGCAATGTAGACCGTTGAGCTTGAACTAATGCTAACTCCGCTTGCAAATTAATTACCTATAGACACAATAATACAGTTCTCGGTCACTTGTCCGGATTACTATATAGAAAAATATTTTTTTTGAGAAAATGAAGTTAAGTGAAGGAAGGAAAAAGAAAATACAAATAATTTATTTTTCCAATAATCATAAAAGCTTATGTATAAATAAATTTTGAATTTTTCTCATAATGCAAAAACTATGTACTTTTTAAATATATAAGTATTATTGTTAATTACTAGGGATAGGCAAGACTAGGCTTGGGTTTTTCTTCCCTTTTAGCATACAAAAAAAAAGACAAAGATTGATTTGATGTGCAAAAATATTATTTTAAAATTTTAACAATTTAAATTATATAACCAAATACTCAATATTTTTATTATTTTGAACAAATTAAATTTGACGGATGGTTGGTTATACGGTTAATTAAAGGACAATCTTTGGAGTGATAATGGATTGGCTTTTCTATCTTGTGGCATGAATTGAGTTTGAGGACCAAAGTGTGTGTGCAAGAATTGAAGAAAAGTTGTTTTTTTTTCCTTCATTCAATTTTTTTTTTTTTTAACCTTGTTCTGGGGGGTGAAAGACTTGAATTTTATCTGAACCACAGCTTTAGCTGTTGCCTTGCCACCTACTTACTGACTTCATAGTATTCAAGCAAGATGGTTGGTTGTCAAATGGCTCAAAATAGGCTTGTTATTGAAGCACTGGCTATGCTATGTGTGATGCCCATTTTTTGCACAGCAACTTGGGTTGGCTACACATATCTGTTTCCTCATGTTGGTCGGCTACACGAATCTGTTTCCTCATCTTAATTCAGTTCTGTTTCTGCACGAAGTCTAGTTAATCTCATCGTAAGAACAGAAAAGTTTTGAGCTACCAAATTATGTTAATACTTGGTTCAATCTGCATATGGTTCAATCTTTTGCTTTTTTGAGAGCGTCATACTGTCGAAAATGTTAAAATAGTTACAATGCTATTTCTAAATACTAGTGATTATTTTTTTTTAAAATACATTTATATATCATTTTCCTTTCTAAATTGTGCACGTGATCTCCGTTTGAAGATGATAGAAAATTTTGTGGAGATTGGGCCAATCAGGAACTTTGCCAGTGGGCTTACTAGAGTTTCCAGTGTACAGCTTGGATGAACCATGATAGTCAGACTGAACCAACACTAGCTGGGCTCATGTGGATCCACTATAAGAGGCCCATTACAGATCAGTACATAAACCAATCAACTAAATTTCTATGACTATTAACAGTTCTCATAATCAAACTCAAATTTACAATCAATCAATCAGCAGGGTTGCAAACTAATCAAATTATTCATGTATAGTTGAAGTTTGATTTGTTTAAAGCTCCTTTGAGCTCATCTCATTTGTTGAAGTAAAATATTTGCACTTGTTTAGTAATCGAGTCGAACTCGAGTAAATTCATACTCGACTCAAATAGGTTCATTACACAAATATATATATATATATATATATATGTATTTTTAATAATATATCAAATATATTTTCATCAATTTAGTTTATTTATTTGTTTGTTTATGTTGTATTTGTCCAGATTTACATATTTGATTGATGGCACTTATTAACAATATGAATGTTTTTTTTTATATTTTGCTCATAATTATTTTTTCCCCCTTTTAAATTGCATGTAAATATAGGTATTATTTTCTTTTGAAGCTCAAGCTCAAGCTCAATTCGTTTATGGAATTGAGTTGATTTGAGTTCAAGTTTCTCAGCTAGTAGAGTTCAAACACCCTAAATCACCCTAAAACACGATATTATCAACCAATATTGTACATATAAAGCAACTGAAGCAGTCCAAACGAATTCAACAGATAAACTAACCTAGGGTAGAAAATGAGTCACGTCGAATTGATTAGTAGATTGTTTAAGTTTGACTTGAAAATTTAACGAATTTCAAAATATGTTAAAGCTTGGCTTGTTTCCATAACGAGCTAATTTCGGACGAACTCTTAATGAGTTTTTTACGAACTAAAGACAAATCGAGTTAGAGTAGTTTGATTCATTTAACAAGTTTAAAATTATGAATTTCTGTTACCAAAAGCATATAAAGCAACAAAACACTAGTGGTAAGTTATATAGGAAACAAAATGTAAGATGAGGTACATTTGATGCAAGTTTAATATCACTACAACAAGACGGACTAATGGTGCTAGAAAACGTCCAAAGACATACAAAAGTTCTGTTTGGCCGACAGTAAAATTTTCAATGCGGACTCGGAGGTCGAGATTTTACTCCGGGCAAGTATGTAGACACAAATTCTTGAGCTAATGCTTGAAGATCATCATCATCATCACCATTGTCGATTTCTTGATCCATAGGATTGCAAAAACTTACCAATTCCATTGATGTTGAAGGATCAAAATGTGTTGTTGATGCATTGGAAGTAGATGCCAAATCTGAGGAGGATTGAGCATTTGTTGTTGAAGGACTTTGAGGTTGAGGGGGTGGTAGGGAGAGAAACTGCAATGTAGACCGTTGAGCTTGAACTAATGCTAACTCCGCTTGCAAATTAATTACCTATAGACACAATAATACAGTTCTCGGTCACTTGTCCGGATTACTATATAGAAAAATATTTTTTTTGAGAAAATGAAGTTAAGTGAAGGAAGGAAAAAGAAAATACAAATAATTTATTTTTCCAATAATCATAAAAGCTTATGTATAAATAAATTTTGAATTTTTCTCATAATGCAAAACTATGTACTTTTTAAATATATAAGTATTATTGTTAATTACTAGGGATAGGCAAGACTAGGCTTGGGGTTTTTCTTCTTCCCTTTTAGCATACAAAAAAAGACAAAGATTGATTTGATGTGCAAAAATATCATTTTAAAATTTTAACAATTTAAATTATATAACCAAATACTCAATATTTTTATTATTTTGAACAAATTACCTCATAACCAATTTGACGGATGGTTGGTTATACGGTTAAATTAAAGGATCTATTGTTAACTCATACTCAAAAGTAAAACCTCACCTATTAATGTTAGGGATCATTAAAAAAGATATTATAAAAATAATTATGAAAATTTTTTCATCGTTAAATTGTATATACAATAAAACATCACACAATAATCAAAGGATAAAAAAATTCATGTACTAACTATTTTTCTTAAGATTTTGATAATTTATACTGTTTATTCATTTTATAAGACTCTGTATATTATTTATATATATAAAAAACATTTAATTGAATAATTATAACTTATTTAATTTATAACATTTTTCATCAAAATAATAAATAATTTATTTTTAAAAATAGATTTGTTGTTTATTTTTTTAAAAATAAAGATTAAAAATTAAATATATTATGATTATCAAATCAGTTAATTTTTTTTATAAATAATATATAAAAAAAATCTTACAAATTAAGCGATTTTAAATTATTAAAATGTGATCGTGATCACGATGATGATGAGCACCACAAATCCGCACAATATCTAGATCCAGAACGGAAGAGAATCTGTTGCTTTTTTCGAATACATATCATTTCTGATGTTGCAAGTTTTTTTTTTATTATTATTTTTTTTAATTTAATTTTAACGGCACGGGTTAGCATGAAAATTAAACAGAGCAAGAAAGAGAAGAGAAAACTAAAAATGACCTGTTGTTGGAGAGAGAAGAGTTGAGAAACACAGCCATAGACAGGGTCTCGAACCCTAGCAAGGGCCTCATAACAGAGTGAAACGACGGCTTCTGGACGCTTGTGGGACGGCGTTTTGAGGAGCAACTTGGAAGCATTGCTAGCTCCGAACACCTTGTGTACCGCCGCAAAGTGAGCTGTGCCAGCTTGGTCTGACTCAAAGTAGGGTTCAAATATGCATCCCTTTTCACACTTTCTCCTCATAAACTTGCAAGCTCCACAAGCCCCTCCTCCTCCTCCTCCATTATTATTGCCCCTTCTCATCTCTCTCTCTCTCTCTCTCTCTCTCTCTCTCTCACACACACACACACACTCTCTCTCTAGTGGGATTATCTCTTCTTGAGAGTTTGTTTGATGAGAGGAGAAAAACAGAGAGACACAGAAAGAGAAATGGGGGTAGTTAAAAAAGAAAAGAAAAAATAAAAATAAAAAGAGAGAAATAGTATAAAATAGATTTTTTTTTTAAAGTTAAAAATTATTACATCTAAATTATAATTATTTTATTTTTCTCATAATAGTAAAAAAAGTCAAAAACTCTATTATAAATGAGATTTTTTAATTCCAGATTAAAATAGTTAAAAATCTAAAAAATTAAAAACTCAACCTACATCCTAAAAGAAGCTTAGAAAGGGTGATTATTACACGTGGTATTCGATGGTATTATGATTGGTGAAGAATGTGAGTGAATAAAATATTGTGTTAAGTGATTAAAAAATATAGGAGAACATGATAAATGATAATTAATTAAAGAGTTCCAATACATGATGTTTTGAAATATTCTATAATTTTCCATTTAGGGGGTTGGTTTGATCGCTTGTTTTTGTTAACGTGGGTTTTGTGATAATAGAGCAATGGTAGAAATCTTAAAGAAGTTAAAATTTTATATAATACTCTGACTAGAGTAGAATATTTTTAGGGTTGGTTTGACATAAATTAAATAATATAAAAAGTTAAAAAGTCACTATCCTATTTAAGTCACATCATCTTATTTAAATCACATCACCTCTCTAACACATCACATCAAACCCAACCCAAACCCAACCCATATAAGTTAATAAGTCAAAAAGTGCACTTTTTTAGAATATCTCAAACCAATATTTAAAATTTCTAAGTTTGCTTTTGAAAACAATTAATTTAGCCTATTTTTTAAATTTTTTTTTGGATAATTTACTCTTATTAAATTAGTTTTGTTTGAGAAAAATTTTTAATTTTTTTTTAATAGTTTAAATGTGATAGTTATAAGAGAAAAAATAAAATAATTATGATTTAAATATAATATTTTATCTTATTAATTAAATTAATTTATTTTGTCATTTCGTTTATTTAGATATACTCTTCCCAAACAAAGATAGCCGTCGTTTATAAAAGAAGTTAAATGGTAAGTCTGATCTATCAATTGCCCAATACACTTAAAAAAGACAAATCACATAGAATATAAGCCAGATTAATAGAATAATTTTCCCATTGTATGAACATTATTATTTATTAGATAAATTATAAATATATTTTTTAAAATTTACTCAAAATACATATTGTTCTTTGTGGTTTTGAAAATTATATCTCACTCATTGAAGTTTTAATCGCATAATAAATGATTTATTTTATTAATAAATCATCAATCAATTAATAATTTTTAATAATATTAAAAATATATTTCAATTAACAATTAAGATAATTTTATTATTGTACATAAGAGTTGTTAAAATTTTTATTATTTTTGTTAAATAAAAAATTCTGATAAAGGAGTATTTGTAATTTTTAAAATTACAAAGAACTATTCATATTTCAAGATTGGTAAAAAAATAAATAAATTTGGAAAGTAAGATTGTTTAAAATGATATAAATAAATGTATTTTTTAATTTTATACAAAAAATATATAAAAAAATAGAAATATAATGTAATTTTAACAAATATACTTATCTAAACAAGTACTAAACTGTAATGATAGCAAATTTATTAGATAAGAAAACAAAATTAATTTTGGAAAGTAGTTTATGATAGCAAACTTTAAAGGCACGGCAAGTTGGAATTTTTAAAATTACAAAGAACTATTCATATTTCAAGATTGGTAAAAAAATAAATAAATTTGGAAAGTAAAATTGTTTAAAATGATATAAATAAATGTATTTTTTAATTTTATACAAAAAATATATAAAAAAATAGAAATATAATGTAATTTTAACAAATATACTTATCTAAACAAGTACTAAACTCTAATGATAGCAAATTTATTAGATAAGAAAACAAAATTAATTTTGGAAAGTAGTTTATGATAGCAAACTTTGAAGGCACGGCAAGTTGGGGGATTTGCTTGCGTGAAGCAAAGATACATTACATGCTGGGGTGATGGATAGTGCATAGTGATAGCCATTTAAATTCGATTCACGGGCTGGCTTATATCCGGTCAAATGAAGTAGATTTTATTTGTCTCAACACTTATTTAGGTTAAGTTTGGGAACTTATAAAAAAGTCAAATAGTTAAAAAGTTATTTAAAAAATTAAAAAGTTAATATTATTCATTAAAAGATAATTACGGCTGCACAACTCTCAATTCGAATTTTTCCTTACAAGTCAATTTTTATAATTTTTTATTACACATTTTTCTATAAAAAGTCAAAAAATTAACCCAAACATCTATATTTTCAACCTCAATTTTTTAGTCTAAAAAGATAAAAAGTGCACTTATTTAAGACACCCCAAACAATCTCTTAATGTGGGGATGAATTATATTTTGGTCACTTGTCATTGCAACGGGAGTAGGGCGGGACATGTATCGTTTTCTGTGATTTAAATCCGACTTAATATAATTAATAATATAAAAAAATAATATTAAAAATCTATCATTTTGTTTAAATATAAATAAATAATAATTTTAAAAGTTTCGCTGTGTATATATATGAAAATAAAAATATTATTTAATGTGCTAAGAATTTAAATGATTCTTAATTTTTTTGATTATTTAAAATGTGGGATATTCACGGGTATCAATTATCTACGGAGGGCGGGATAAAATTGAAAAATTTCACCTGTAACAACATAGGGCGGGAGAGGAAGTCGAGTTGATTAATGTTAGGAATCATGAAAAAAATGTCATGAAGATGATTATGAAAAATTCTCCACATTTGGATTACACATACAATAAAACACTACATACAAATTAAAGGATGAAAAAATTTCATAATGTATTTCATGATATTTTTTTCATGATCCATAATATTATTTAGTGGTGTTTTAAAAAGTTAATAAAAAATTAATTTTTTAACTTTTTCAAACTATTTTATCTTTTAATGAATAAAAAATATAAGAGATAATATAATCTAAAATAAATAAAAAATCAAAAACAGACTTTTTAACTCTTTGGCAAAGCACCCGTCAGCAGAGTTTATCGGTGGGAGCAGGAGTGGGGAATGACCAACCCGTCTCACACTCGCCCCGTGTCCATCCTTAATAGTGCAAGCTAGCAACTTCTTCTTCCAAACACGGCCATAGTGGGCCTATTATAGCCCACGTGCGAATATCACGTGAGTGAGACAAACATTCAATCTTTATCTTCTTCTCTCTCTTGTCACTTCCATTTCAACTCCATCAGTCACTCACATTCAAACAACACATTCACGGAGAAAAATTATTTGGTGCTCCTCAGATGCTACGTTAGTAGAACTCTTTACTAATCACACTGGATTGTTTTGAAAAGGTAATTAAAAATTGATTTTTTTATTATTTTTTTGGTTTTTTTTTAAAAATGTAAAAAATATAAAAAATAGTGTGATTTAAAATAGATTAAAAATTAGAAAATGAATCATCTTCCTAAAATAGCCTAATATATTATGGCTTGGGAAGTTGACTATTTTAGAAGGCTATTTTAGTTTTTGAATATTTTAATAGGCTAAAATATTTATGTTTGAGAAGATAGTTAGATTTTTTTTAATTAGATGTGATATTTGTGAAAAAAAAATAAAATGATTATGAATTTGATGTGACATTTTGTCTTATTAACTGTTTTAGCCTATTTTATCTTTTTGTAAATTTTAACTCAAAAAAAACCAAACCTTGGCTTCCCAAACACCCCCTATATCTTCTCTTATTTTTTAAGAGTTGTTTAGAATGTTTTAAATAGTTGTATTTTTTGATTTTTTATAAAAAAAAATATAAAAAAAATAAAAAAATATTAATTAATATGACTCAAAAAAATAAAAAATATATACTTATTTAATCTTTTCAAATCCCACTTTAGTCAGTGATAATAATGGTGAGTCTGATGGGTTACTATTTTTTTCCAACTCTGCTTTTTCTTTGACCTCATCAAATCTAGCCCAGTCAATCACACCTAGTAGTGTCCAACTCAAAGGTGATTGATTTTAGAAAAGTATTTTTATAAAATAACTATAAATTCATAATAAAATTTAAAATTTTAATTATTAATGATTTTACAAACACATTTTTTAAAGTATGCTTAAAATATAAATTACTTCATATAATTTTAAAAATTAAAATTTATTTTTAAAAATTTTAATTTTATAATAAATAGTCCATTTTATTAATAAATTATCAAAACAATTAATATTTTTTAAAAATATCAAAAATATATTTCAATTAATAATTCAAGTAATTTTATTATTATATAAGAGAACAATTATGAATTTTTTTTTATAGTTAATTTTGTTAAATAAAAAATTTTGATATGGGAATATTTGTAATTTTTTAAACCATAAAAAGCAATTCATATTTTAAACAAATCTCAAAAGTTAAATTTATAATTTATTATAAAATTTATCATTAATCTAAAGTTATTTTCAAAAATTTATACCGAATTGTAATTTTTTCTTCATTTTAACTTTTAAGTAAGGCACACTTAAATTGTTTTTTTTTTTTTTTTTTTTTGTGGAAAATTTTTTTTTTTTTTTTTTTTTGGTTTGTTGAGGAATAATTGTGCTATTGGTTAGAGCATCTGTATCAAACTAACTAAAATCATTTTTTAGCTAAATTAGTGATATTGTTCATCAACAATGAACCTTCATCAGTCTCGCTACACTATGTTGCTAATTTACGAGTGTTACAATATCTTGCTACAACAAGCGGGGTGCTGTTCATCGCTACAACACGGAGATTAGTATTACTGGATGTCCACTTGAAAGTCCGGCCAGTCAATGGCCAATTTTATTTATTTATTTATGGTTAGTAACTCATCAATTTAATAAAAAAAAAAAAATAACAAATACAATAAGAAAATAATATTTCAATAAGATTAAGTTAGAATAGAGAGTTTGATATAGTAGGTATTAAAGAGGTGACTAGCAAAAATAGTAAAATAGCTTTTTTAGCTATAATTTGACTAAAA